CGTTCCTTATGGTCCAGCTTTCACAGCCATACATTGCAACTGGGAAAACCGTAGCCTTGACTATATGCACTTTTGTTGACAGGGTGATGTCTCTGCTTTTTAGTATGCTGTTTAGATTTGCAATAGCTTTCCTCCCAGGAGCAAGCATCTTTTAATTTCTTGGCTGCAGTCCCCGTCTATGGTGATCTTGGAGCCCAGGAAAATAAAATCTGTCACTACCTCCATTTCTTCCCCATCTATTTGCCAGGAAGTGAGAGGACCGGATGCCATGATCTTAGTTTTCTTAATGTTGAGTTTCAAGCCAACTTTTGCACTCTCCTCCTTCACCCGCATCAAGAGACTCTTTAGTGCCATTACCCTAATCCAGAGCAGGACTCTACTCCTTTACATGAAAGAAAAGAGAACTTGGATGAGCTACAGCAACTTGATTAGTAGTCATTTGGTTCCAAGTTGGACAAATGAGAATGCAAAATAATTGTATGTGATCACAGACTAAATGCTACAGTTAAGAATTGCAGAACTGTTCTTGCTGTATGATCTAGTTTGCACGGGGTGGGTACAGCTCTGTTGATTAACTCATGCTTTGCCACCCTTAGTTTATTTATTTGTTTATCAGAGGTATAGCCTGCTTTTTTCTTACAATAAATTCAAAGTGGTTTACATGATTTTTCTCCTCCTGCCTCAAACTAAACCCCACAACAACAAGCTTGTGAGATAGGTTGGGCTGAGAGTCTGTGACTGGTCCAATGTCACCCAGGTCGCTTGATGGCTGAGCAAGGGCTAGAATCCAGATTGCCTGAGTCCCAGTCCTGAGCTCTTAACCACTATACCACCCTGACTGTCAATTAAATGGGCCCTATGCCTAAACTTGGAGGAAAGTCCCAAACCCAGTGTGAAGTATTCCAAATCATTTAGGTGGAGGCAAAAGGATTAGTATCATTGGCAGGACATCCTGGATTGTAGAAACCTGCGAATGGGCCTCCACACATCCCAACTGTAAATGACAGTATTTCTCTGCATAATCCATGTTTGTTAATAGCTTAGCATGATAGCCGCATATAGGCTGAATCAATATCAGGGTGCCTGCTGAGTGAGTACATGGGAGCCCTTCCAACAGCACTTAGTGTCAACAGCACTGAGTGTATGTGCTCTGCACTTAGGATGTATCAATACATGCATGTGTCATTGAAAGTTTTCATTTCTGTTGCGGAAACATTGTTTTAACACTAATAGCCTACATCATGAAATGCAGAATCATTGTTATCTAATCATATAAAATAAGAGAGGCTGGGGGGAAAACAGTCTCTGTATTAAATACATTGTTTGAAATAATTTGCAAATGTTCTAGAGAAGTTGGCATTGGTTTATTTTAGCCATTCGGTCATATATGAGCTTTAATAAGATGCTGCTTGAAAACATAATCTGCTTGCTGTGTTTTCTGTCTGATATCTTTATAATTATCAGAAAATTTGTTCAGGTTATGGAAGCGAACTGTTTACTGAATTTCTTTCCTGACATTAAATGGCTTGAAAGTATTGTTATATTTCACTGATTACTTATTTTTCTTGTTGATCGTAAATGTTTAAGAATTAGGGATTTGTATGCTAAAAAATGAGGAATCTGGTGAAAGATGTGGGATGGGTCAGGATGAAGTTTATGATAATTGAGTTTCATCTCAATCCTGTTTTATTCTGGAATATAGAAATTGCTGTAATTATAAAAAATTACTCCTACTAGGTCTGGGCTGAATTGACCTCATGGGGTATATTTGGGATAGACTTACAGGACTCGCATGACATGACAATCAATTGTGGTTGGCCATGTCAATCTGAACCTTGACCATTTCCCACAAGATAACTTGTGTTTGGGCAAGAAGCCACCCA